CATGTGAAAAGTCAATTTTGAAAAAAAATCCTGTACTTTCCATTGAAAAATTTCTGTCTCTTGTACTACTCAGGAATGCAGTATGGTTACAACAACTTATTATCCAATGCACACTCTATTATCTGTCAAGTGGTTGCTTACAGGAGGTTAAAAACAAAAGAAAATTTCAAACTTTTAGTTCTAAGAGTGGTCGCGGTCGCTTATGAGAGGTTGTCGCTTACAAGAGGTTGCAAATATAGTGATTTGACTTGGAAACTTTTAGTATTTTGGAAAACTGGTCGCTGAGGGGAGGTGGTCACTTATGAGAGGTGGTCACAACCAGAGGTTCGACTTAAGTTGCAGGTCTTCACCTTGCATAGTTTCAGTGACCCAAGTGACAGGGAAATTTCATGTTCTCAGATGGCTGTAGCACAGTCAAGAAATGATATCCATTTTATTTAATTTCCATGTCACAATCTCACATAGATTCCCTCAGCCAAATAAAAAAATATCAGATATTCACTTAAGCTTACATTTTTAAATTCCTAGGCAGCATCTTGCAAAGTCTGAAGTGAAATCCCATCATTCATTGGCAGGTCTCCAAAGTATTGAAAGCAATTTCAATGTTCCTTCATGAAAACCCCCATTCCTATATGTATTATTAAATAAATGTTGTCCTTCAGAAGCTAAATTCGCCATTAGACTGCCAAGCTGAAATTTGTACTTGTTACTGCCAAATATTTTGTGGTTTTTGTATTTCGTTTCTAGTCTTGAACAATTCTTTGTATTAATCAATGGACACTTTTGTGGATATGTGTACCCACATACAGCAAAGGAAACAAAGAAAGCTACTACCCTTTGCATTACTGCTAATGTGTTCAAAAACACCTCCATTCTTAGTCAAGTTGTCAAAGTGTGTAGATCAAACTCTTAAGTCAACTCACTGCATATGAAATCCCTCATGCGACAAAATTTCAAATTAAACAGTTTCACCATTTCTCAGTCATGTCTCAACAACCCTTGTCTACAATGCTTCAGTCTCTATACATTGCTTCAGTATTTGATTTGTTACGGTTGGCATCATTCTATGTACATTGCTTCACTCCACTACATCATTTAACCATTGATGCCTGTGCCAGCCATAACCAGCAATAACAAACATTTGGCCTTTGTTCCACTTCTGACGTGATCACCAAATTTGTTCTGCAGGAGGAAAAGATCTTTCCAGTGATACCCAGATCAAAGTGACTGGGTCAATTGAGCCTGAAAATTATGCACAAAAATGATCAGAAATTGAAGTGAAAAACTCAGAGGAAAATTTCCCCCCAACTACGCTTGGCTACAACCTGGTAAGATTTGGCCATCTCAGTTATGCTTCCTTGTGAATTTGTGAACTGTAAGCAAGCCCAGTAGAAGGTCAACCACTGCAGCAAAAAGATAAGGAAAAGAGAAAAAGGAAAGACGAAAACAAGTCAAAAAACCAAAAAGCCTAGAGACTTACATGTGCATGGTGTAAGGTCACTTTCTTGTCCGAAACCTGCAACCAAAATTTTGATTTCTGCACGTGCCTGAGCAAAAATGTTGTAAAATGCAATGCTAGAGGAAAGAAAGGCATGCTATCATGTTACAAATGCTTTTTGAGTAGACGAGTTAATTTAGCTCATATCCAGGCTGAAAATGCATTTTTGCCAGAAAGCTCTGGGTGTCAATGGGTTCATGCTGTTTGCAGTCAGTTGTGCCTTGAACATTATTCTGACAAGCATTTAAAACATATTTAGAATATCTCTTACAATGTGAGAATACAGGATTCACAAATGTTTGGTTTGTTTGAATAGGCCCTTTGCAGGATCCGGTCACATGGTACAGAATTAATTACATGTACGAAGGGATGCAAGTTAGGCAGTGGGACTTCCAAAACAAAGGAAAATCAGGCTGGACTGGTACAAATTCCTTTGTTTTGGAAGTCCCACTGCGTAACTTGCGTCCCAGCATAATTAATTCCGTATCATGTGACCAGATCATGCAAAGGGTCTATTTTAAGGAAAATGGCCAATTCGAAAGAATGTTACATGTATATGGAAGCAAACAAACGCAAGGGCTCAGACAACGGGGTCCTAGAAAATGTTTGGAACACACATGACAAAACTGAAGATGATGAATTTTTAAATGCCAATCTAGACATAAAACAAAGGAAATACCGCTCAAGGAAGATTACGATCATCTTGACCCGCATCAACAACATATTTTTAATTGACTTATGTAGTTTGTAAAACTACAAAGGTTAAAAGTCATCAAGGTTAAATTATTTCTTGTTTCTTGCTAGATACAAAACGTAGAAACAGCAATGAAAGTATGTGCTGAGACTCAACAGGAGAAAGAATCACATGCAAACATTGGATTCCGTATCAAGTGAGTTACAGTTTCTTCATGTTTTGTTTCAGTTACTAGGCATGACAGTGCATGATTCAGGTGGAAAATTGTCAATAGAGATGTTACTGTTTCACTGTTTGGCTTTTTCAAAACACCTGTAATTGTTATGTGGCAGTACTACACCTTAGCCCCTTAGGGGTAGGGTGGACAAAAATTCCTTAAAACAGCAGTGCCTGGGGAACTGTTGTTGAGGAGTATTCTTTTGTGGGATGATGGGCACTGACTCAAGACTCGGTAGCCTGCCAGACTATTATTAGCCGTATTAGCCACGCATGCAAAAATGATGCAAGTAATCCTAGGAGGAAATGAAAACAACTTCAGCACTTGAAGTGCATTAAACCATTGTGGTATACATAGCTTCAGACTGCTTTTAAACATGTTTTTAAGCCATTAGGACCAATAAAATAATTTATGACAGAAAGGGAAGATAAACAACCGATAAAGGAGTTCTAATTTAAACTTGCTTTCTCACACGAGATTCATGGCATCATACGAGCATGCGCTAAATAAAAGGCATGCACAGTTCAATACCCGCACAAGGTTGTAATAACCTGTCTGTGATCTAAAATTTCTCAAAAACGTACTGTACAACCCATGATAAAATTTTCACAGTTGATCTGCATGAGCGAATCACATTTATCACCAAAATTTAATTTGGTCTTTGAGCTATTTCACAGTTTCTTTGTTTGTGAAAAATCTGTCTTGCAGATTTTTATTTTACTTTGCATGAATGTTTGATCAGCGCCAATTTCTAGTTCCTTAAATTTTAAGGTGGGGTCATGTGGGTTGATTTTAAGAAACTAGTGTCATTAATCTTCCTAGTGCTCAGTCTCACCTAGGCACTAAGTTGTTCATTTTGATCAAAACAACTTGACAGGAAACAGTAACTAGAAAAAATGAAAAACATAGATCTTGGAAAATTTTTCAAAAGAGTTGAAAGTTGGGCTTTTACATGTATAATCCATCAAAAAGGTAGTAAGCCATCTTAAGCACACTGGACTGCAGATCAAGAAGTCAGGGTGTCTGTGTTGTGTTCTTGGAAAAGACACTTTACTCTGAGTCTACCTTAGCCACCTTCAGGAGTACCTGTACCAAGAGGTTTAATAAGTACTGGGTGCTAACCTTATGGCAGACTGTACATCCCATCTCATCCTACATGTTTCATTGTTGAACCTTGCCCCTTGAGTTGAAACTCTTAAAACTCTGATAATGTTTTTAATTGTGTAGTTCTGTGAAACAGACAGTCACTCGCATCCCATCCATCGGGAAATAGAACTACTCAATATCACTTAATGTGACAGAGACTGGGTTAAGCTGTGGTGATAGATCACTTGGATGCCTGCTGCAGACTTTACTTTAACGTAATAGTCCAAACTTGCCCTAGTAGGGTTAAAACTTTAAAAACCTGATGACTTATTTCCTTATTTATTTTTTTCAAGGCTTTCATAAAGGTTGAAACAGTTCCCATTTCTTACTACGCAAACCATAAAGCGGTGTGCTGAGACTTCTGTGGAGAAGTATTCATACTGAGGCAATAGATTCCATATCAGGTGAGTCTATGTGGTTGGTTGGAGAAGTTATCAGTTACTCGATTTTACTAGTGCTAGAAATAATGGTACACAATGCAGAAAAAAAAAACAAAACAAATGGAGATGTTATTGTTTCGCGGTTCAGCTGTTGCACTGCATTGTGTTTTTTACATGACATTTTACACTCTCGATGCCTCTCTCCACCCAGATATACAAATGGGTACTAGGTGAATTTCGTACCAGGGCTGACCCTGCAACAGACTGGTATTCCATTTAATGGGAGAGGGGAAGTAGAAAGACGCCTTATCAGTTGATGCTACAGAAACTTTTCACCTTAAGTTCATCCTCAAAACTCCTCCTAGTAAGGTTGAAACTTAAAAAATCTGATGACTTACTTTTAATTATGTTAGTTTGTAAAACTTAAGAGATCAAGGAATTCCATAAAGGTTAAAACATATGCAGTTTATTACTAGATACAAAACAGAGAAGCAAGGAAAAGAGCTATGTGCTGAGACTCAAGAGGAGAAAGAATCAAATTGAAACATTGGATCCCATAGTAGGTCAGTCACAATTTTATATAATACGTTCTTGGTATGACTAGGACTAATTTGCAAAATGCTGGTAGAAAATTAAAATGAATAGAGATGTTATTGTTTCACTACTGTTCAGCTATTCAACAAACCATTGTTATGTGTCAGTATATCCCTTAGCCCAGAGGTGGGGGGAGGGGGGCTGGCCCTTCAGACTAAGGGGTACTGTTGTGGGAGGGGAGGGGCACTGTTGTTTTGTGGGAGAAAGGACATAGTGGTCTAATGATTAGTGTACTGGGCTGCTCATATAGCAGTCTGGGTGTGAGCCAATGTTTGGGGTCTCTGTGTTGTGTTCTTGGGCAAGGCTCTTTATTCTCACAGTTAGGTTGACAACGTGTCTCCAACTAGGTGTGAAAATGGATACTGGGTGAATTTAATAGTGGGTGCTAACCCTGTGTCAGACTAGCATCCCATTCAGGCAGATTAGAATTTATGCCTTATCCCTTAACGGAGTAGTGACCTGGAATAAGCTGTGGTGGTTTGGATCGCCTAAGCAGACTTAACTTTACCTTTATTGGACCGTAACTTGTCCCTGTAGGATTGAAATAGAAAAAATCAGATGGCTTATTTTCAGTTGGGCAGATTTTGAAATTAAGAGGTGAAGGATGTCACAAAGGTCAAATATTACCTGATTCCTACTAGGTACAAAACAAAGAAGGAACAATAAAAGCTGTGCTGAGACTCTAGAGGAAAAAGAATCAAATAGAGACATTGGATCCCTTTTTAGGTGAGTCACAATTTTCTTTTAAAAGGAAAGGGATTTTATCACTTAATGGTGCTTGTCAAAGGTAAAGGTAAAGTCTACATACAAGCCAAGTGGCCCAGTTCTCCCCGTTTCTGTGGCATGAAGCGACTAGGAGTATATCTGCTCTCCCCTGGATGGGTTGCTAGTCCATCACAAGGCTACCCCCAGCATTTAATTTGCTGGTCCCCATGTATACACCTGGGTGGAGAGAGGACACTGTGAGATTTAAGTTTCTTGTCCAAGAACACTATACAATATCCCCCGGCCAGGGCTTGAGTGCAGACTGCTCAATCCAGAGATGAGTGCATTAACCGTGAGGGCACCCTGCATTTACATGTGCACAATGAAAGCAAAGAATTTAAACGAATAGAGAAGTTTTTGTTTCACTGTTCAGTTATTTCAACAAACCCTTGTTATATGTTATGGCTAATTAGATATCCTAACCCTTCTGGGTTAGGTTATATGAACATTCGTTAAGAATTGAATGCCTGAGGTACTGTTGTTGACCAATATTCGAATATGTGAGACAAGGGGCCTAATTGGATCAATGACCAATTGCTTTCCAGTTTATTTATCAATGCTTCCTCATGAGTGATCAGCTTACAATTTCTCACAGTCTCAAACATAATCATGAATAAGCTGTTATGAGGATTTAGAGAGTAATCTCAAAAAGGAATTGTCTAGATAACTCGAAACCAGTGAGGAGAATTTGTTTCTTCANCTCGATTGAGTTTCTTGCGGCCACATTGTTAGGGCGGAGCTCGTATTAGTGATTTCACAACACAAAACTGAAGAGCGAAAAAGAGACATTGGAATTACTGTCAAATTGTCAAGTATCTACCAAATTGTCTTGTATCGTGCTAGTTTTCCAGGAGGCCGTGAATTGTATTTTAAGTTTGTAGCTTTAAAATTAAGGTAGAATGTTAGCATTACCTAGATTAGCTTTTTTGCAACCCAAATTTTCAGCCTGGAAGTCTCGTTATTAAACTTGTTAAAATTAACTGTGTAGTGGTCTTGTATCAATTTCACAAATTCACTGAAATCGTTTTGGTTTCGAAGACGCATTGACTTGATGAAAAGGTTGCGCTTTTAAAAGGGCCAGGAAAAAATCGATAAGAAACTAAGTCTTTTAGTAGAAAAATTGTCCTTAGAAAAAAAGGTCTGCAATTTTAAATGGTGTCTGGTTTAGAGTCAAACATATACCGAGTCTTTTGTGGGAAAAATCTTGCACTATGTAGGATTTTTCGCATTAAAAGTCAAAGTATATGCTTGATTTCTGGCTAGACTCCGTTCAAAAGCGCAGAAATTTTTTTCTTTTTG